AAAATGCGTTCCATGTGGCAGCCATCTGTGTCGTGTGTCGTTGTCGTAGTCAGACGCTCAAAGAGACAGAGATGCAGAGATGGCGTTACTGGAATAAATTGGTGTCTTTTGATGAAGAACAAATGCAGTTCTACGTAGCCAATGGGGTACTCATGAATGCCGAATGGTCGTAGTAAGTTGTCTTGGAGCAAAGAATTAAGTATACTCAACGTACTATAATAATTATAATAATAATAGTAATTTATTTATTTCTCTTTGCTTCCTCCGATAGAGGTATGAGAGAACTAAATAATATACATTACATAATACAAACGAAAAAAGCATGTACATGGAAGCGTCACACGAAATATATTTATAAATTAGAAGAAATGCATAATAAGGCACCAGCCCAAAATTACAAAAAGCAAGTAAATAAATAAACATACATGGCACTGAATCGGTGGTCAGAAATGACCTGGCTGAATTAAAAACCGCTTCATTATGTCTTTACAGAATCTAGAAAGATTTAACAACTCCAATTCATTAGATGTGTTAAAAAGCCGATACAATTTTAAAGTATTAGGTCTAATTCTATGATATGATTTCAAAAATCTCTCCCGTTCTTTACTCAGGGCCAGACACTCAAAGATATAGTGAAATTCATCACCAAGGTGGTTACCTTGGCATAAGGTACAAATTCTATCATGAACGGCCTTATTTTGATAGCGACCTGTGACAATGGGCAAATTGTGGTTCCCACATCTAAATTTACATAATTGAATACGATGTACTGGATCGAGTATCAGAATGTAATCTGACGCAGATAATGACTTTTTGATTATTCTATAAGTGGTACACAACCCATTTTCTAGCAGATCGGCATTCCAGTTTTGTGTATACATGTCCGATAATCTAAGTTTTATCGCTTGCTTAAGCCACGTTCTATTTACATTTGATCCAATCTGCCAAAGATTCGACATACCAGCCGTATCCAGAACACCTTTAATTTTTAACATCCAGGCTGATTTGTATATATCTCTGTCATGTAACACTTTTAATAAATTGTAGATTCTATGTGATAATTTGCAAGATTTACTCCAAAAATGTATCATTCTAATTTCCACCAACTTACGAAGGGGACATACCCCAAGTTCACCGTATACCATAAAATTTGCAGTATTTTTGTGTACTTTGAGAAGCCGTTTACAAAACTTCAGATAAAAAGATTCTATCTGAGAAAGATCAGCATGACCCCATATTTCACATCCATACAATAACACCGGAACGACTAAGTGACGAAATAACTCTAGTTGTATGTCGATGGGTAGACATAATTTTTTTGCCTTCATCAGTAAGCTAAACATGGCACATCTGGCCTGGTTTGTCTGTTTACATATTGCTTTCCTGAATTTGTTATTATAATTGAATGTTATGCCAAGATAAATATAATAAAATGTTACTTCAATGGTTTCATTGCCAAACTTAAACGCAGGATACTTTTTAACTCTCCCACGTGAGAAAATAACAACCTTCGTTTTATTAGCATTTACAGTTAAATGCCATTCGTTGCAATAAGTATAAACAGCATTTATGGCAGATTGCAATTCTGTTTCTGATTCAGACAGTACAATGGTATCATCAGCATATAATAAAGTGAATAACTTAAGAAATACTTCTATATCCTCATTACTTAAATATGTTTTAATCTCGCTAGCCATATATTTTAGACCATTATAGTGCTTACTGATAAAATACTCGAAATCGTTAAGATAAATAGCAAACAACAGTGGTGAAAGATTTTCACCTTGTCTAACACCAACATTACAATTAAAGAAATCAGATTTATCGCTTCCGTCAATAACACAAGACTTTGCTTGGTTGTACATATTATAAATAACTGTAATAATTTGACCATTTATATGGTTGGAGATTAGTTTAAACCATAAACTTGTCCTGTCAATCAGATCAAACGCTTTTTTATAATCAATAAAAGCGCAGTATACCCTTTTCTTATTATGCAAATATAAATCAATAACCGAGTGTAGGACAAATATATGATCTAGCGTGGAATATCCCGCCCTGAAACCTGCTTGCTCTTCACCCAAGGAACCCACACAATTCAAATAAGATGTCAACCTGTCATTTATAACAGCTGTAAATAATTTGCCTAGACAACTTAGTAGCGTAATGCCTCTGTAGTTGCTAGGGTCACTGGGGTCACCTGTGTTCTTGAAAATTGGTTTAATACAGCCCATTGTCCAAGATGTAGGAACGATACCAGTGTTTAAAACTATATTAAACAATTGTACAATCAAGGATGTAATATCATCGCGACTGTTTTTCAGAAATTCGTTTATAATTAAATCTACACCTGCTGCTTTATTATTATTTAACTTTTTAATTTGAGTCATAACCTCCTCTACTGCAATGCTAGTATTAATTTCCTCGTTATTTGAATGGGTGATCAGTCTGGGATCAAAATTATGGACGTTTTCCTTATTGGTGGACTGTCCCAGATTTTCAAAATGCTGTTTGAATCTATCCATATCAATTATATTATTCTTATCATTAGTCGAAATTGAATTGTTTAAAACAGACCAAAATTTTTCTGGTTTTGATTTCTTCATCGTACGAAGTTTCACATACGTTTTACGTCTGAATTCCCGTTTACATTTTGCAAGCAATTTTTTGTACCTTTTACTAATTGAGTGACACACATTCCTGTCATTATCAGATTTTGTTTCTTTAAACACTTTTTTTGCTTTTATATATTCAGATCTTAATTTGTCGCAGTCTTTATTAAACCATGGATTACTTCTTCGTTTATAATTAGATTTATTATTGATTCTGATTTTAACGTCTTTCATCATGCCAAGTTGTTTAGCGGGGTTAATGAACATGTGACATATCTGGTTGACGAGGTCATCCATTTTAACCTGGTCCAACTGACCCGGATCTATTGCAGTGGGGCTAGCATCAATCTCCCTAATTGTATTTTCATCAAAACAATCTTTTTATTTCTGAGACAAGTTTGGAATCCACTTGGGACGTACGTGAGTAGCAGTGTTATTACATTTTGTATTGGCTAATATATCGACAATTGGGGTTGCATTGGATACATAGTTTGATTTCAAAGTTAAGCATATAGGACTGTGCTTATCCGATATTATATTATACCAGTATATTGATGGTGTTAATCCATTGATTTGATTGGCCCAAACACAAAATTTGCATATGCAATCCATGGTATATTGGCTGATAATGCACGGCTAAACCAAGTGGCCCTGGAACATGAATTGACTACAGGTTTAATACGGAAATACATAAAACCGGTATTATTTGATTTTTAGGGAAATATAGTGGTTGAATTTTGGAAGAATATTGAAAAAAATACTGAATTAAAAACATCTGAAAAGTTATATAACTATAATATTGCTTTTTGTTAATGGTGGGATCCAAGTTGTGAGCGTCCGTCGTTGGGTGATTGTCGTTCGCCACACAAACCTAAACCACCGTCCCTCAACACCGTGAGGTGCCTACACAAACGCCAGAACGCTATGTTCTCAATGTTGTTACTTTGAGATGGATTGCGAACTTCCAACAAAGAAAACATGATCTTTA